AGCAACAGTCAAACATGGTGGTGGTAGTGTGATGGTCTGGGGCTGCTTTGCAGCTTCAGGACCTGGACGACTTGCCATAATTGACGGAACCATGAATTCTGCACTCTATCAGAAAATCCTGAAGGAGAATGTCCAGCCATCAGTTTTGTGACCTCAAGCGCACTTGGGTTATGTAGCAGGACAATGATCCCAAACACACCAGCAAGTCCACCTCTGACTGGCTCAAGAAAAACTAAATTAAGGTTTTGGAGTGGCCAAATCAAAGTCCGGACTTAAATCCGATTGAGATGCTTAAACCATCCATTCATGCTCGAAAACCCTCCAATGTGGCTGAATTAAAACAATTTTGCAAAGAAGAGTGGGCCAAAATTCCTCCACAGCGATGTGAAAGACTCATTGCCAGTTATCACAAACGCTTGATTGCAGTTGTTGCTGCAAAGTGTGGCACAACCAGTTATTAGATTTAGGGGGCAATTACTTTTTCACGTAGGGCCAGGCAGGTTTGGACAGGCAAAAACCTTTTCACACCACTGTATGTGCTGATTAAGTTTACTTATCGCTCCATGTCTTTTAGTCATCATGACTCCATGACATAAGAAGTAGGAGAGAGAAATCGGTCCTCATCAGAATGAACATCCTGCATCAAAATAGATCTTGGCCTTTTAGGAAAGACTTAGTTTACAAACTGCAGATGTATTATGTACTGTAAATTATTAAAGACCCAAAATGCATGCATACATGCTTCAATTTTTATTATCTAGACCATCTTTTCTCTGAAGGTAGGACTGGAAGTATTAACAGGAACAATATCTTTTCATCACTGTGTTCATTTTACAAGAAAAAAAACTAAAAACCTGTATGGGAAACCCAGTGTCTCCGCCCACCTTCAAACTATATTTATACAGTGTTTTGTCAGTCAGAGCTCACTGAGTGTCTTCATGATGACCATCATCTCTCTGCTCCTGCTGGCCTCTCTGCTGCCACACCTGACCTTCACTGGTGAGACTGATTAAAAATAGCATTAATTACAATTGTTATGTGCTGGATAAGCTGACTGACAGCAGTATCTCTCTCTCAGCTCATGTGAATGTGGGTATAGTGAACGGCACAGAAGCAAAACCCCACTCCAGACCTTACATGGTTTCTATTCAATCGAATGAGATGCATGTCTGTGGTGGATTCCTTATTTCTGATGAGTTTGTGTTGACTGCTGCACATTGCTGGAACAGGTGAGATGTTTTTGTCTCGTTACAATCATTTTGGCTGGCATAGTAACTGCAATTGTATGATTAAAACTGAGCATCATGACATTCTCTTTCAACAGATCTGAGATTCTGACGGTTGTGGTTGGTGCTCATGACTTAAGGAAAAGTACGAGTTCAGATCGTATTGGAGTGAAGTCCTACATCCCACATCCAAGCTATATTTCTCAGTTTTCTTGGAATGACATCATGCTTTTGAAGGTAACAACCGGTGATGCATTTAGTTGTTCTCAACTTTACAAATGGCAGTATAATCAACTGCAGTTCAGTCTTATAAAAGATAATTAAATTAAATCTGTTTGTTAATAATGGTTGTGTTTTTGAATTACAGTTACAGAAAAATGTCAACATAAACAACTATGTTAAATGGATTTCATTGCCAAAGAATGGAGAAGATGTTGCGGCAAACACTCTCTGTAGTGTTGCGGGCTGGGGACAACTGGAGACTGAAGGCCCAAAGAGCGATCGCCTAATGGAGGCAAACGTGCATATAACGAATAATAGAGAATGTCAAAAGAAGTGGGGAGAGATGTTCTCATTCTCACAGATGCTGTGCACACATGGCCATGGTGGATCCTGCCTTGTACGTACAAAAGATGATTCACACACTTACATTAATTTATGAACCGAGTTTCAACTGATACAATGTATGTCATTGACTGTTTCTCTTTTATCTTAACAGTTTGATTCTGGGGGTCCTTTGGTTTGTGGACACACTGCAATTGGTGTCACATCTTTTGGATATAACTTACTCTGCAATTCACTTGAGAAACCTAATGTGTATATTAAGATTTCACCATTTATTCCATGGATTAACAGCAACATTTGAAATGTGAAGTGAGTTAAGTTCTTGAATTTTTCTGCATGACCTCTTTCAATAAAAGTATCACTTGGCAATCATAAATCATGAAGTGTTTTCATTGTCACACACACAATATTTTATGGGGGTTGCAGTGTCAGTGTCATTGTCATTGATTGGATGAATGCAGCACGTGATCAGTTTATATAGCAGCATTGTGCATCCTCATATTGTATATTGCTGCTATCAATTTTTTCCTAAACTGACACGACTGTTGATACAATGCACAGTGTTTCCGTGGCTGTCCAAATCACATGGATATGAGACACGCGATCGGGTGTCAGTAAGCCAATTTCACAAGAATCGGAAATTACGTTAGTTCCGCTACAGGTATGCTGTTATTACATTAGCCCTCTGATGCATGAATTATTAAATCACAAAGTAATATTTTTTTACATGTTTGTTTTTACTTTTAAACAAGTGAAAAATCCTGCCAAACATTTTTTGTCAATATATTATATTTTGAGGGAGTTACATATATATCCACTGTAGTGGACACCATGCATCAAATGTATAAAAAGTGAATCAATAGAACTAAATGTGTGGTCTTTAAGTTTTTTAAATATTTGCCATGTGAAAATGGTTTGAATACACATAAGAACATTCAATAACAACAAGCTATGTCATGACGGCACAGAAATGTGAAGTGTAACAGACAAAACGTAAGAGTGTGTGTGTCTATGGGCCAGGTGTGAGAGGGGGGTGGGGGTGGTGGGCTATTCATACACATGTGAGCACAAATACAAACACACACACACCCACCACACACTCGAATGCAATCAAACACGCATATACTGTATCTGCACTCATACAGTATACATGCCTACACTTTTATATTACCTAATAAATAAATATAGACTGTAAGCATTGAAATAAATGATAAGATCTGAAGACTATTTAATATTTCTCTTCAATTATATATATAGGCCCATAGGCAGAATTATATCCTTTGGTGCATGCCGTCTACAGTAGTGGACAGATATATTTTCTGTCACAGAAAAAAATGTAAAAATGTAAAAATCTGGATGAATCTATTTCTGACATCCTATTTAACTGAAAAATCTTGTTTGTACACAAACACACACACACCCACCACACACTCGAATGCAATCAAACACGCATATACTGTATCTGCACTCATACAGTATACATGCCTACACTTTTATATTACCTAATAAATAAATATAGACTGTAAGCATTGAAATAAATGATAAGATCTGAAGACTATTTAATATTTCTCTTCAATTATATATATAGGCCCATAGGCAGAATTATATCCTTTGGTGCATGCCGTCTACAGTAGTGGACAGATATATTTTCTGTCACAGAAAAAAATGTAAAAATGTAAAAATCTGGATGAATCTATTTCTGACATCCTATTTAACTGAAAAATCTTGTTTGTACCTGTCTGGTTTTCTAAGAATAAAAGTATTTAACACTTATTGCCGAGGTACATGGTGCATCCCCTTTTCCTGTCGCCATTTTGAATATATTATGCAATATCTCAAAACAAAAAAACAAGACAACAATTAAATGGAATCGTACACAAAACTTTGGGGGTTCGCCAGTTGGTCGTTTTGGACATGATGCTACATCTTAAATGGTTCAAAATGGCTTCCAAATACTGTCCACTGTAGTGACCACGATGCATCAGAGGGTTAGTATGGTCTTAGTATATGGTCTTTTCTCAAATATCACTTCTTACCTTTTCTTGACTGTTTTACAAGTTGCTGTTTGTTACGTCCCAGAACGTATTTGTTTTTGTTCTCTTTCTCTCACTTCCTCTACTTGCAAGTAATAGGATCCACCTGCCAGTCCAAAAAGCGGAATCCAGCGGCCTGGTCGAAGGTTTAATGCGTATCCGTTTTGTTACTTGCGCTTCTGAATTTATCAGGACTTAGTTTCAATTTTGTCTAGCTCCGTGTTCAATCTGACTCCAATTTCCCGTGATCAGTTTTTAATTAGAAATATTGCTTTGAAATATTGCCTAACTTTAATGATCACAAATATTAATTTAGATATTCGATTATTCCTGACTCACTATACTTTCACTTATCCGTTCACTGGGGACCTAATGTCTCTTTTAAGTCTCACGCTGGCCTTACGTGGATCTTACGATCACAAACTCGCCAGTCTGATGCTAGTCAGAGGGTGTAGGTAGACTAATACCTATTTTGCCTGCCGCCTACTGCTTGCTTATGACAAAAAGTGTAATTCACTTAGTCCTTTCTCATACAACTTGCTAACATCGGCGATAGACAGAAATCAGAAGGTCTCCGATGACGTGCCTACTGCTCCTATCATTCACAAGCCTTCAGTTTGACCTATCCTGGCCGTAGATTTGCGGTAACAAAAGCCTCCTCACAGTTTACTAGTCATAATGATTTTAGGAGAGTTCAGAATAAATCAAATATAACAATTTATTATCAGTCAGGTAAATATGTATTATGCCAATTACATAGACAATTCAAAGATATTAAATCAATACAAGACATCAAATTCTCAAAGACAAATCTAAGGGTAAGATGCATACCTGACTTTTAGAAAAATACGTAGTGTGAAGTGTGTGGACACCCTTCACACTACGGGCCTTCTGGCTACAGAATCGCCCTGACTGATTTGCAACTTTCCCTTAAATACTACCAGAACAAAGACAGAGAAATCTTTAAATCAGTTGTAAAAACATAAAAGACCTTTTGTTTGTTAGTTTCTGTGATCCAGGGTCACACCCGGCTGGAAACATTCTCACAGACCCCTAAAGGGGGACACACCCCCTCCTCAACACAACACAATTCTACAAAAGTTTTAAGTCTTTCTCACAATATAAATGACTACTTTGAAATTGAAACCAATTTACCAATCGCACAAAGATCTTTAAAATGACACTAAACATGAAGGGAAAAAACAACAGGTTCACAAGATACATGATATGTGGGATATGCATATTCTTAATGAACTTTGGGTGAAACCTTTTGGGGGAAAAGAGGGAGAGGCAGAGAGGCCAGGGGGAGAAGGGGGTCGTAAATGGGCGAGGAGAGAGGCATTGTTTGCTCTCTTTGAAGATTTATTCTCCAGATAAGTTTTATTGTTTTATTGCATGGTGTCTGTTTTGTGTGAGTTCCTGAGTATTGGTTTCATGAAGAGTTAATTTCATAAGGAAATAAATTCAATCCTTTCAAGGCAATGGCCTCCATCTGTCACCAATGATTGGCTGTTAACTCTGATTGGAGGATGAGAGGGAACAGTAAAAATTTAAGCAGCATTTTCCCCACTGAACAGTGTGATTGTGTGTGGAGACTGTATTGTGAGGTTTTGCTTCCTCCCCTAGAAGGGTTCATTTGTTGTTCATGAACTATACTTTGTTGATTGGGTTCTCTTTAGTGAGATTGTGTTAATCCTCCTCCTGCCACCTCTACAACAAGAAATCCTGTTTTCTGTTTGTAAGTTAATAATAGTTTGCAAGTTAATGTAAGTTCTTTACATCATTTGTATTGCTAATTTGGGACGGGGTTAATAGTGGGAGGTGCCATTTTCATTTTGGACTTGTTTTCTCCCGTTTATGTTAGTGAGGGATTTAGTATATTTTGTTGTATTTTTTTTTTCTTTTGGTAGATTAGTTAGTTTCCCTTTTTATCAGGTAGATGGGTTACGTTTGTGGTTCTGGCCTGAGCTCCCTCTCGAAGCCTTTGAACCCTCCTGCATTTGTAAATGAGAGTTATATCGTTCTCGATTTAAGCAGAGGCGTAGCAATAGGGCAGGCAATTGCCTGGGGCCCCGCATTTGAGGGGGCCCCCGACAGCTGACCATTTGAACAATCGGAAATGTCATTTATTAATATAACATGGAGCAATACATCTGCATCCCCCCCTAGAGGGCCCCCTCTAGGATGTGCTATCTTGCTTTTTCCTCGTGATACGTCGGCCGCCGTTTTCAAACTGGAACAGCGTTTACTTGTGCATTTGAACTCTTCAATTTAAACATGAAGAGGACTTATCCGTCTGGCAGCCAGAAGCGGAAAAAAGCAAGAAGAGGAGGAAAAGAGGAAACATGACAGTGGTAAATGATGGAGATAAGGCTGACTAAAGGATAATTATTTGACAAACAAATGTTTTCGTTGTTAATTCCAGTTTATTTTCATTTAATTATTTGCAAGATGAATTACTGGTAATAGTCCAATTACTGATAGGGTTACAGGGAAACAGGTTAGCTAGGGTTGCACTTAGCAACAGCATATTATGGTACCATTGTAGGTAGTGCCGAAATTTGCACCCTGCTAGATTATGCACCCCCTAGTATTGGTAGGTTTAGGAGTAGGTGTGGGGGAGGGGTTAGGATTAGGGGTGGGGTTGGGATTAGTCAATCAGGTAGCGACTTCAACTAGGGGGTGCATAATCTGGCAGGGGTGCAGAATTCGGCACAACACCGGGAAAGCGCACATCACCAGCGTCACCGCTTGGCACGTTTTGGTACCAAGGATACAAACTTGTCACCTTTCGGTGAAATTCGCCGTTTTGAATTCAAAATGGGCCATTTGTGTGATTCGTGTACCCGCTTTCAAATGTTCCTGTGTTTTTGTGCACGCGCTCTGGTTTTGCGTTTAGTTTAGTAGCCAATCACAGGCATCTCTGTTGAAAGCAATGGCCGATCAGAGGTGTTTACTGTAGGTTAGTCAAAATCCGCTCTGATCTAATTTTTGTTTTCGCATGTTTACCTAAATCTACACGCTCCCAGATCTTCCTATTATAACAATAAGAAAGCATACACGATGTAAATAAGGTATTTAGGTATTGATTATATCAGGAGTTTTCGCGTGAGTAAGCTTGGACAGTTGCGCCATAATGGAAGCGCCCTTTGCTCTGTGTCTCATCGTTCACATTTTGAAGAAAAGTTTAAGAGGACCGTCCACATATACTGTTTCAGGAATGACAAAGGCGAGTGTAAAAATTTACGCGAGTGAATCCTCCAAATTGATACGCGATTGATGGTGATAACTGTAGCAATGGACGTAACAAATTATTTGACAAGCCGATGTCAAAACAGAGCTGTGCTTTAAGTGATGCAGAGTAAATTCAGAGTAACAAAACTACAGCAGCAACAAGTCTGTGTTGCCTTTAGCAGCTTCTACAGGTAAAGATAACTTAAAGCTCTCATTTGATGTGTCCTTTTTATGCAATGTTTGAAAAAAAGTCATTTTTAAATTAAATTAAAAAAAAAAGCCCAAATATTTAAAGCATTACTTGATTATTATACCAGTAATAATTAACTTAATTTGTAGTTAAGTATTTAAATAATTTACCATACTAGGCTGTTGGTGTCTGGGCTTATTTATTTAGCAAAAATAAATAATTTACCAAGTAAATAGTGAGGAGTGTGAAACAAGAAAACCCAGGATTTCGTTTCCCCAGGGTTTAGAATGGCCCAGAGTGAACATTTTTAAATAAATGAGTAAAAAAATAAATATTAGAAGAGTGGCTCATCTCCCGCCTTTATAATGTGTCTTTGAGAGCTGCAAATCTTTTGAATCTTAAGTCCAATTATGAATATAATTTATATATGAATATAATGTTACATGCTTGGTGTTCATGAAAAGCCAATTTTGATGAACTTTCTATTTTATCTGTGAGTTTCAAGGTGCAAAGCACATTTTCATCATTAATTTTCATGCTCATAGTACATGCTTAATTCTTATCGTCCGAAACCTCTGTGGTTTAAATTTTAAGACCGCAAGGATTAACAAAAATAAGTCTTGCTCATGCCACAAGACTTTTTTTAGGTCAGGCAGCGCAATGTCTCCGCCCCCTTCAAACTATATTCATACAGTGTTTTGTCAGTGAGAGCTCACTGATTGTCTTCATGATGACCATCATCTCTCTGCTCCTGCTGGCCTCTCTGCTGCCACACCTGACCTTCACTGGTGAGACTGACCAAAAGTACTGAATTGATTAATCTGCTGAAAATTAACTAACAGCACTCTCTTGCTCTCAGCTCATGTGAATGTGGGTATAGTGAACGGCAGGGAAGCAAAACCCCACTCCAGACCTTACATGGTTTCTATTCAGATTTCTGGGCAACACGACTGTGGTGGATTCCTCATTTCTGATCAGTGGGTCTTGACTGCTGCACATTGCTGGAACAGGTAAAAGTTTTGATTACTTTAAACTGTAACATTAAGTTAAAATCACTTTTGACAGACAAAACACCTGCAGTGCAACAATACAATGCATCATATGTCATAAATAAGCATCATGACTTCATAAATACATTTTTCCAAAACACTCTTTCAACAGATATGCGATTCTGACGGTTGTTGTTGGTGCTCATGACTTAAGCAATAGTAAGATTTTGGATCGCATCAGAGTGAAGTTCTACATCCCGCATCCAGGCTACTTAATCAGTTCTTTGCGGAATGACATCATGCTTTTGATGGTAAACATCGTACTACTTGTTCAAACAATATCTGGTCACGAAATAGATTTTGAATAACATTCTTTGACTTTCTTTTGCAATTTCTTGCTAAAAATGCAAGAAGGGACTTCCTTTCAAACCTTTGGAATACAACAAGTGCCTGTGGTTTCTTGTGGTTGTTATATATATATATATATATAAAACCGTAAAAAATCAAAAGTGCAGGAAATATACTTTAAGAGCCACATTAAAGGGGTCATATGATGCGATTTAAATTTTTCCTTTCTCTTTGGAGTGTTACAAGCTCTTGGTGCATAAAGAAGATCTGTAAAGTTGCAAAGACTAAAGTCTCAAATCCAAAGAGATATTCTTTATAAAAGTTAAGAGTCAGCCGCACCTACCTAAAATGGCTCATTCTAACACGCCCCCACATATCTACATCACTATGTGGGAAGATTTGCATAGCGCCGCCCAAATGCCTAGAGCTGATCCGTGCTGATTGCTGAAGAAATACTTAAAACTTTGCGCTGTCGATCGCCAGATCGGCTTTCACAGTGGACGAAGTGGAGTCCAGCCCGGGGTCGTCACATGTGGTTGCCGCAGGCATCACAATATGGTAAGGGGCGTAACATTTCTGTCACACGCTTGAGGAATTCGGCCAATCACAACGCACTGGATAGCTGGCCAATCAGAGCACACCTCGCTTTTTCAGAACGATGAGCTTTGTAAAAATCGGCGTGTTTCAGAAAGGCGGGGCATAGAGGAGCAACAATAATGTTCAGTATGTGGAAAATAATGTTTTTTTTTGTTTAGTTTTTTTACCTTAAACCGCATAAACACATTTCATTTCACCAAATACACAAAATAATGTTCTTTTTAGCAGCATCATATGACCCCTTTAAAACATTTTTAATTCACCTTGGATTTTGGGGCTTCTGTCCTAACCACAAGTACAGCAGTAAAAATCAACAGAAATTCAGCCTTATAAAAGATTGTTTATTATTAATGGTTGCGTTTTTGAATTACAGCTATATAAAAAAGTCAGACTAAACAACAACGTTGGACTGATATCATTGCCAAAGGACAGCAAAGACGTCAATGTGGATACTCTCTGTAGTGTTGCGGGCTGGGGAAGACTGTGGACTAATGGCTCACTGAGCGATCGTCTAATGGAGGCATACGTGACTACACTAAATCACGTACAGTGTCAACGTAAATGGGGACCCAGCTACTCCGCCTTACAGATGATCTGTGCATATGGCGGTGGTGGATCCTGCCAAGTATGAACCAAAACAAAAATGATTCACAGACTTTATGATAATGTATGAACTGATTTTACTAGTGTTGTGTTGATCTGTGTTTCTTAACAGGGAGATTCAGGAGGTCCTTTGGTTTGTGGAGACACTGCAGTTGGTGTCACATCTTTTGGAAGTAAATTACACTGCAATTCACCTGAGCATCCTAATGTGTATACTAAGATTTCAGCATATCTTCCATGGATCCACCATATCCTCAGAAATGTAAAAAAGTAACTTCATGGAAAACAAAAAAGGAAGAAATGCTTTTTTTTCTTGAATTCTTTCATAAACCTTCTTTCAATAAACGTATCGCATGGGCAGCATCAATCAGTCGTAGTGTGTTCATTGTCACCACAGATAATTGCAATATTACATGGGACACACGTCCAAAGTCATTTCACATTAGTTCACTTAGTTGCCATCTTAGTAATACACTCAATTTCCAGTCAACACCAAAAGGTAAAGGAATAAAAAAGGTATCATAAATTGTGCAACATTGTGTTTTTAACAAAAAAAAAAAAAAAGTAAAATAAAATCAGACAGATCAAAATAAAATTAGCTTGGAAAACCCTCCAGGATTTAATTTGCAAAAAAAATAATGTAAAATCTTCATAATTTAAAACAATAATAAAAATAAAGAAGGCTAATTAGTTGACCTTACTTAAAAAAAAAATTCCTTGTAAAAGTAAAGTAAAACACTTTTTAGTGTAGTTTTAACTAATTAATTTTAAGTTAAATATACTGGGTGTCTATTCCAAACAGCTCAACTTTAAGGTGAGCTGACTAACGTAAGGTTTTCGGAAACTTCTCCATTGGTATCAACCTGATGAGCAAACTGATATACGTGTTAAAACCAAACCACCTTAAAAAGATCAAGTGTTTCTCCAGTTGAGTAAGTGCTACAGTTATCCAGCTACCAATAGCCCACATGCATGTGCTAACATAACCAGAGAGTCCACCACTGCATCAACAATTGCAATTATTAATGCTTTTTAAATAAAGCAGTGAATGGTCTTAACATTTCTAGACCAATCTTCGACCAAACCACAGGCTGTGCTCTACAGCACAATGCTAACACCCTCAAAATGCAGCGATAACAGAGACCCTTTTAAAACCAAACATAACAACATTAAAAGTTAACAGATCACTCACTATATTAACCTTATGCAAAGACATATAACACAACTCTTAATTTCAACATTCACTCCTAGAGTCTGAAACAAAGCATTCTGGGAACTAGAACTTGATAGAATGGTATACAAATCAAATCAGTTTTCTGAGTAACAAAAGCATAGTACCCAAATAGTACTGACTATGATTATTATTAAAATAGTACTAGATTATTACGATTAAAATCAATAAATTGTTGTACATTAAGCAAAATAAACTAAAAAGTGTGAGTTAGGACGTAGACCAATACCGAGATCCAACCAAGTACAGGATGTCACTTCTCAGACATTTCAAGACCTGACCAACGGTTTGGTGCAATCCAACATCAATCATGTTCAGTTGGTGAAAATAAACACAACAAACGTGTCTGTTACTCTTTTTCAGTGTCACTAAGTGAAGTGTGAATCAGCCTTTAGAGATCTAACCACATAGACACTGTGATTCAGTTTTTCTCTCTCGCATCTAATTTTACAAGAAACATTAGGCATGGATTACATCATACATGGGGGAGAATAGTCTACTCCCATTAAGACCACAAACATAAAACCTATCTTTTCCACTTCAGTGCAAAATGAAAGCCACATCAAGGTGTGATGGAGGAAGTACGATCACTACTGGGTAGCTAAACCAGCCCATTTTGCATTAAATACCACCATCAACACTGAGGAGATCTTCAGCACTCCAGAGAAACCTTCCAAGAACAGCATCATGATCATCTCCGTGCTTTTGCTAGTCACCCTGCTACCATATCTGACTGCTCCAGGTAGAAAAATAATGGGAATGAACTGACTTATTGCATTGTCTTTTACATTTATCATAACTATGCAAATGAATGCATTAATGTTCATTTTATGCACTTTTTGTTCTATACTGTAAGTTGATCTGAAAGAACATTTAGAAAAGTCTACTTCTCATTTAACCAACCTATACTCTTTTCTTTCTTAGCATCTGTGCAAGTGGGTATAGTAAACGGCACAGAAGCCAAACCTCATTCAAGACCCTACATGGTTTCAGTTCAAAGTGACAACAAACACAAATGCGGTGGCTTCCTTGTATCTGAAGAGTTTGTCATAACGGCTGCGCACTGTTTTAAAGAGTAAGTGTGTGTTTCTTTTTTTTTTGAGTCAAAGAGTCCCATACCGCTGCAAAAGGGTCTTCACTTGGTGTGACTACTTTGGAAATGACACATGCTGTAATAGTACTTAAACAAATGGGTCCACAACTCCTAAAATCTAAAAAAAATAAAGGATCCTTATTGGCATTGATGGATGTATGAAGAACCTTTAATATATGGAACATTTCCATTGCACAAAAGGTTCATTAGATTATTAAAAAGTCTTCACACTAAGAAAAAATGTCTCTTTTAAGAACTGTTCACTGAAGGGTTCCTTGGGGAACTAAAAAGGCATCAAAGGCATCACTTTCGGAAACTTTAGAGTTTAGGGAGTCTAACAATTAGTTTTTGAACACAAAATGTGCTTTAACTTAAACCAAAGCTAGAGTTAACAAGCTAAAGTTGAGCTTTGAGCATGAGCTAAAGCTTGCGGCTTTGCAATGGAAGCATCATGGCAAAGTATGTAAATACATTAACATGGTTTCAAATGCATATTGTTTTAGGTCAAGCCTAAAATGCTAAACTAAATTTTGAACGGTCTTCATTTACCAGTAAACTATGAATGCATGTTTTCTTCCTCATCTTGACAGAGGAGAGAAGCTGACAGTTGTGGTTGGAGCTCATGATTACACTCATGGTTCTTGCCACATGGATGTGAAGTTCTACCACATTCACCCTGGGTATGAGTCTAAAAGTCTGCTAAATGACATCATGCTACTTCAGGTAAATGACTCAGCTTGGTTTTGCAGAGCAAACTGCAATAAAACAATTGTTTTCTTAACTATACGCTAAAGAACATTTTGAGGAACAGAAAAGTATCATGAACGTCCTACTCCCTTGGGCTTTGTTCACATTACACACAATGCTGATTTGGTTTCACATCTGATAATAAGGACCGACTGGTCAGTTAATTTGGCAAGTGATGAAATACTTTCATTCATACAGTGCTGTCAATATATGGTGTATATTGTTTCTCATACTAACAAAGTGATACAAAAGCTACTTGAAACCTGATTTGACTGTTCAGACTGAGACTTGGTTGGGAATGTGGAAACATTACTGATTTTGGTGTTTTCTCTTTTGTTCTAATTACAAGATTTAAGATCGGATATGTCACAAAATAAGATTTTTGTATCAACAAAACCTTAGAGATCTGATCCTATATGCTGCAAACTGAACAATATTTAATTATCATCATGTAATTGATTTAAAGTATACAGTACATTTACATTTAGCAGACACTTTTATCCAAAGCGACTTACAAATGAGGACAATAAAAGCAGTCAAAACTAACAAAAGAGCAACAATACATAAGTGCAAATGACAAGTCTTGGTTAGCCTAGCAAGGTGTGTATATATATATATATATATATATATATAGAAGATAAATATAGATAAAGTAGAATTAAAATAGAATAGAAAGTGTTAGAGTTAGAGGGTCAGATAAAGGTGGAACAGATGTGTTTTAGTCGTTTCTTGAAGATGGTTAAGGACTCAGCTGCTCGGATTGATTTGGGCAGGTCATTCCATCAGGAGGAAACAGTTAATGAAAAAGTCAGTGAAAGTGATTTTGCGCCTCTTTGAGATGGCACAATAATACGCCGCTCACTTGCAGAACGCAAGCTTCTAGAGGGCACATAACAATGAAGTAATGAATTTAGGTAAATGGGTGCAGAGCCAGTGGTGGTTTTGTAGGCAAACATTAATGCCTTGAATTTAATGCGAGCAGCTACTGGTAGCCAGTGCAAATACATACCAACATACCAAGTAATCCCATTATCCTTATAAATACCAAAAAAAAATATATATATATATATATAAGTTGGTCATCCAATTTGTATACATTTTGAAAATGATCAGCATTAATGATTGAATTTCTTGCTGTAGCTACATGAAAAGGTCAATAAGAGCAAGAACGTCAACTGGATCTCCATACCAAAGAAAAATAAGGACATCAAGACCAAGGTCAAATGCAGTGTTGCAGGATGGGGGAAAAAAAACACCAAAGGTGCAGCGAGTGCTAAGCTTATGGAGGTGGACGTCACCATCATTGATGCAAAAGAATGTAAGAAGTACTGGGGGAAAAATTACTCCACTTCACGTATGTTGTGTGCAGGTGGTCGCGGAGGATTTTGCCAGGTACTAAGAATATTCTGGACAAATCAAAAATAGTGTGACAGTTTCATTTCATTAATGGCCTATAACTTTCATGACTTTTCTCAGGGGGATTCTGGAGGACCCTTGGTGTGCAATAATGTCGCAGTCGGTGTCGTTTCATTCAACGAGCTAAACAACTGTAACTCACCTAAGCTACCGAATGTCTACACCAAGATTTCCAAATTTCTAAGTTGGATAAAAGCTATTCTTGAAGGTGTGAAGCAAGAACTTGATTAATAAACATTTTATTTCAACAATGTAATCTGTTGATCATATGTGTCGTTTCATTATGAATTTATTGATTAAATGATGACTGATTTTGAACACTTTTCTGTGGAAAGATGGTTTTGTCCTTTCTCGGCAGCCTTGGTTTCCTGTGGGGGCCGAGCTCATTGCATGTGGTCAGAGACCCTGTGAGAAACAGTCTAGTTTGCAGAGACATCTTAAAAAGAAATGTTGATGCGTATGCAAGGTCATGAGATTCACCACAGCCTCTCCTCATATGCCATTGGTCAGGCAGCTCTGCCCAAACTCACACCATTGGTTGAACCAAGCAGGTCAGGGTTTTCAAAGCAAGTCAGCAATGTTTTGACAAACAGAGCCACAGTGTGTGTACCTTTCAGGAAAATCCACCTAAAAATGTACCATTTATAGAAATTAATGGAAAATTCACCCAAAAATAAATGTCATCATTTACTGACTCTTGTGACTTTTTCCTTCTGTGGAAATTGTCTATACAAATGGGCGATGGGGACGATTTTTGGGTGAATTACAATGAAACCATGTTTTAACATAAAAACGTTCATATTTTACACTCTCAGAAAAAAAGGTACAAAAGCTGCCACTGGGGTGGTATCTTTTCAAAAGGTACACTTTTGTACCTTTTAGGTACTAATATGTACACTTTAGATACTAATTTGTACCTTTAAGGTATACCAATACAGACTCTTTAGGTACAAAGGTGTGCCTTTTGAGAAGGTACTGCCCCACAGCTTTTGTACCTTTTTTTCTGAGAGTGTACATTTAATTAACTGAAGAAACATCCAGGAAATGTTGTGGTTTGCTCTGAAGGGAGGCCTGCCCTTTTACTTTGAGTAGTTTAAAAGTCAGTGACCCATTTTCAACATTCCACAAGCACAATGACATGCTTCACTGCGATCCTGTTCGCCACAGCTGTGACCACACTGCACATCACAGGTAGCTTCTTTCATTAGTAATCCTTAGCCTTTACAAGTTCCAATTGTGCCTTTAAAGTTTATAGTTATTTCTGTCTTGTTTTTCTTAATAGTTGTGGTTGGAGTTGACATAATCAATGGGAAAAAAGCTTCAAAAAATTCCTTGCAATACATGGTCTCAGTGCAGAACAATAAAGCACATGAATGTGGAGGATTTCTGATATCTCCTCAATATGTTCTTACAGCTGCACACTGTGCTAGGTAAGTTGTTCATTTTTGGAGCCATATTCATCACTGAATGAAATATCTAAGCTCTTGTTCCACCGAAAAAAATGTCCTATGACTTTGGAATGAGTAAATAATGATTGATGATTGGCATTCGGGAAAATGGGAGTTTGACTCTGTTTTATTTGATTCCAGTGGAGAGATGACTGTTGTTCTTGGCGATCATGATATTTCTCCACAGAAAAATCTAAAAAGATATGATGTGATTCGCAAATTCATACCAAAAACATTCAAAAACTTTAAGATGGGTAATGACATCATGCTTCTAAAGGTAAACACCTGTTGGGTTGTGATTACATTTTCACAAGAAGAACAAGACCAAACAAGTGCACATTTAATAACTAACTATTTGCATTTTCAGATTTCTAGGAAAGCAGTTTTGGAAAAAAAGGTGAAGACGGTGAAAATCCCACAACTACATTACAGCGTTAAAAGCAATACCCAGTGCTTGGTTGCTGGATGGGGTTCCACTAAACAGCGCGAAGTTGTCAATGACCTTTTGGCCTTGAATGTATCAACTGTTGACATCCACAACTGCAAGGAAGCATGGAAGAAATACAAAGAAAGCATCACAAAACTTCCACCAAATATCATCTGTGCTGGAGGATATAAACAGAATGGAGGAGTGTGCTTGGTAATAAACATACAGGAGAGACCGGGGCAAGTTGTCACAATTTCTTAAGTACATAAACTATAAGAGGTGTTGAGACAATTGAGAAAGATAAAGTGTGACAACTAGCTCCAGTCTCATCTAATAAATTTATATTTTAAGCTTAATTTGAAAAGGCCTTAGGACACAAGCAATTGATTTGTTGTTGTTGCATGAAGCAGTCCAGGTTGGTGAAAAAAAAAAAAAAAAGAAAGAAAACGAAAGAAAGAAATTCCTCCAGAAAGAGCATCTGCCATCAGTTCTCATCGGGGGTGATGAGTTTTTTTTAATCTTGATCGATCTTTAAGACGTCCACAACCTACTTTTCAAATGAATCATAGAGATTGTGATCTTTTATGTCCTGTTTATTTCCGTATGTAAGTATATCTGTGCAGCTTTCAGTTGGCAAGACTTTTTTAAGACAGCACAAATCAAGAATCAAAGATGAATGAGAAAGTAAAGAGTTTCTTCTTTCTGTGCGCGAGCTCCGAGATGGAGTGGAACTCGGACATGCAAAGTATATTTTGGGCTTCAGGTGCATGCGCCAAACACAAAAGAAAATATTTAAAAATGCGAATGTAAACAGTTGGGAGAAAATAAGAGGCGTGTCAGTATATTAGACAGGTGCATTAGGTCTTAAAGTGACAGTAGCCTAATAATCCTGCTGTTGTCTATATCATTAATGTTAATCAAACAAAAAAAGAAAAAGAGAAAATTGCTCAATGCACTTGACAGGATACTTTTTGGAGCTTTAATAGAAATCAGTGTATATTTCATTCATACAGGTTTTTTTGTTTTGTTACATTTGATTATTTTATTGAATTTTTGTGGAATTTCTTACCTGAATACTATTGTTAGATATCCTTATCCGAAAAATTATTTTTAACTATATAATTTAAGCAATGTTTATTTGTTCTATTGTTTGTCATTTGTGTCTTTGTTTTAACTATTTACTTGCCCTCAATAAGCTTGAGAACTTTTATTAGTTATGGTAGTAGGGCCGACTAGTTTTTACTGCTCAGAAACTTGCAAAACTGTCTGTAAAACCAACAGGAAATGCACAAACCCCTAATATGTTTCCAAGCACATACATGTTCTTTAATCAACATGTTCTGGTAAGACGACAGCGGCCACTGCAAAACTTTCAAAATGAGTCAGGACGTGCAGAAAAGTGTTGGAGTCTATCTTGACATGAAAGCAGCATTACTCTGTGGTAAAGCTGAAAAGTGTTACTAAGTAATGCTATCATGTGGTTAGACTGACTCCAAGCTTAATCTAGTCTTAACCAGCTTTAAACAAATAGTAGTGGTTAGCAAACACATTCACGCAGAAGAACTACATCCCTCAAAATATTTGACATGATTTATTTTACACTAGACAGAGCAACATGGGATTATAAACTATACAAACTCAGTTGCAGTCCTTTTGTGCCTATATAAAAAGGGTGAATTTTGGATGGATCAAGGGGAAGATCAATGCCAAAACAGAACATTTCCAGAAAGAGATTTCTCAAATAATTAAAAGAGCTGAATAACAATATACATATAACCCACTTATATTATGATCTTCAAATAATTTTTGATTCATCTCAATGCTTTACAACTGTATTTTTCTGTTACCGAAGAGCAAAATTGGGTTTGTACCATTACTATCCTCATAATAATTCAAATTTTTGTTCCATAATGGAATTTAGTCTGTGACATATATGCAGGGGAAAAGCTTCTCGAAGTGTGTAAGTCTTTTCATCCACTGAAATATTTCGAGAGCATCTTATACTAACTTTAAAGTTCTAAATACTCATTTTGTGAGGTTTTTAACGTATTGGAGGCCTTGTTTGGTGTAGTCACTAACTGTGGACGGGGTGACCGATAGGGCATGGATAGACTTCTGGACCCCTGAGTGAAAAAAATGGAGCAATCATAAGTCATAACTACATTATATTCACATTACATGTGTGGTAAAAACTGATTATATACAAGCATCTTCCACTAAATACACTTTTACCTGAGTTCCATGCATCCAGTGGTGAGAACTCAATTTTGGGCGTGGCAGGAAGCTAAAATGTTTTATAAAAAAAAAAATGTAAAAAAAATTATAACAAACTGACTTGAAACAACACAGGAAAATACTACACAGACACCACCATAAGAAGTATTCTGGTCAGCATTACACATCAGTTGCAAATGACACATATACTACCGTTCAAAAGTTTGGGGTCGGTAAGAATAAAAGAGCTGAATAACAATATACATATAACCCACTTATATTATGATCTTCAAATTATTTTTGATTCATCTCAATGCTTTACAACTGTATTTTTCTGTTACCGAAGAGCAAAATTGGGTTTGTACCATTACTATCCTCATAATAATTCAAATTTTTGTTCCATAATGGAATTTAGTCTGTGACATATATGCAGGGGAAAAGCTTCTCGAAGTGTGTAAGTCTTTTCATCCACTGAAATATTTCGAGAGCATCTTATACTAACTTTAAAGTTCTAAATACTCATTTTGTGAGGTTTTTAACGTATTGGAGGCCTTGTTTGGTGTAGTCACTAACTGTGGACGGGGTGACCGATAGGGCATGGATAGACTTCTGGACCCCTGAGTGAAAAAAATGGAGCAATCATAAGTCATAACTACATTATATTCACATTACATGTGTGGTAAAAACTGATTATATACAAGCATCTTCCACTAAATACACTTTTACCTGAGTTCCATGCATCCAGTGGTGAGAACTCAATTTTGGGCGTGGCAGGAAGCTAAAATGTTTTATAAAAAAAAAAATGTAAAAAAAATTATAACAAACTGACTTGAAACAACACAGGAAAATACTACACAGACACCACCATAAGAAGTATTCTGGTCAGCATTACACATCAGTTGCAAATGACACATATACTACCGTTCAAAAGTTTGGGGTCGGTAAGATTTTTTTTTTATGTTTTGAAAGTCTATTATGTTCACCAAGGCTGCATTTATTTGATCAAAAATACAGTAAGGATTATTGCGAAATATTACTACTGTACTGTTTTCTATTTGAATGCATTCTAAAATGTAATTTACTCCTGTGATGCAAATCTGAATTTTCAGCATTTTCTTCAGTCACATGATTCTTCAGAAGTCATTCTAATATGCTGATAATATGCTGTTTTGTTTTGTTTTTTAAACTGTCATACTTTTTTCATGACTCCTTGATAAATAAAAAGTCCAAAATAATTTTGAAACAGAAATCTTTTGTAACATTATAAACGCTTTTCCTCTCACTTTTCAACCCTCTACATTGCGAGTAAATCACTCGCATATGCGACTAAATCTTCACTCTGGGCGACTAAATGATGTCTAATATTAGCCAATGGCTAATAAATTCTTAGATTTTACTCGCCAGTGTGTGAGTTGGAGGCTGAGTATAAGTTTAGCACAGATATATTTTCACTCACAGAACACTGACTGGGTGCTTCAGAGTTTCACTCTCCGTCAAGCGATCTGTGATATTTATCATTTCATCTCAATGAATGCGCAGCGCACCTGTGTTTATGTATTTGGCGTAACGTAAACTCTAGTGTGAAGGCACACGACTCGCTGATGCTTTCTCTCACACGCACAAAGAGAGAGAGAGAGAGAGAGAGAGAGTCTTACATAACATGCAGAATTGATGTGATACATGTAAACGATATTCTTTGTTTTATTTTCCTGTCAAAATAACAGGCAAAGGTGTGAATTCCTTTGGAATTCTTCAGCTTTTAAGAAATGCTAACTTCTTAATGTTAGCATTTAATGTCAATGTTAACTAATGCGCAAACGACAATCTCATTTGCTGGTGCTCATCTATTATCGTCCCTGTTTAGATTTCAGCAAATCAGTTCGAGCGAACGCACACAACCTGATTAATATTCATGAATCCAGAAGCTTGTTAATCCTTGGTGCGCTTTATATTGTTCTTATTAGTAGAATTCGTATAATAATAATAATATCTTAGTTTTTATTTTTTTT